ATAAGTACAACTTTCCGTTCATATTATTTCTGAGGAATAATATACGTTCGTATCTCTGACTGAGTAACATAGGCATTTGAATTAAATGGAAATGTTGTACCGAAGCCAGGATGAGGCAGACGAGGCGCTTGCCTCATTGCTTTTTTAGCAGGTTTGGAAATATTTTCGCCTCTTCGCTTTTTCATCCTGGCTACGTCACTGTGGTATATTAAAACCCTGGGAGAAATAGCATCATTCTTTTGACCAACTATTGACCGATATTTCGTTTCATATGAAAAATGTCGAATTATGGATTGATACCACGTATAATTTCCTAAATTAAACACTACGTGATGATTATTCTACAATCTATATACACAGAGAGGCCAAGTCCAAAGAATACTGTATGTGTACCGAATATATAATAAACGTAACGTATCTACTTCTATATTCAATTACGGTTGGATTGTTGGATCTTGTATTAATTGAATCGACATGCGTGAAAATGAAATTTGGTTCTCCGCTAAAGTTGGTATATTCATAATCTACCTACCTCATATTAGATGGATTGGAAGGTTACTGATTACTAACCGTCGTGAGACACAAAAGAATGAGTCATTCTACCCATCGGTTAGATCATTGATTCGTTTATTTATGAAGAAAATTGTTGTCCATCAGCTTCACTTTGAATAGTTCTCGAGTGGGCATTTTAGCTCTTCCCTTATAATTTATATTATGGCTCTTGGGTGAGTCCCTAGTTCTGCATAAACCAATAGGTTAACGAGGCTAAGAAAAGCAGGGTACATAAAGGTATAATCGTGCATCTTTTTAGTTCCAAACTGCAGTTTCTTAGCAACGTTACTTGGGGTACATTTAGTAAAATGAAAAATTGTACCATTAGATTCAGTTCAGCCCAATTAGTTCAAGTAATGAATCCCGATAAATAAGAGACTTCTTTTCTATGAAAGAATAAGTACATGTGACTACATAATCATGTATCAAGTGTTTGGATCTTCCACCCCATCCTCCTCCTCAAGTCTGAAGTCATGCGTCATGTCCAGGATCTCGCACCCCTCTTCCTCAAGTTTCTAGTCATGCGTCACGTTCAGGATCTCCCACCCACCCTTCCTTATCTGAAAGTCTGTAGTCATGCACCAAGTCCAGGATCTCGCACCCCTCTTCCTCAAGTTTCTAGTCATGCGAAAGTTTAGGATCTCCCAACCTCTTCTTCAAGTCTGTAGTCATGCTAAGTCTAGGACCTCCCTTCGCTCTTCCTCAAGTTTCTAGTGTTACATTAAGTGTCTGGGTCTCGCACCCCTCTTCCTCAAATTTCTAGTAATGCGTCACGTCCAGGATCTCCCACCCACCCTTCCTGTTCCTCAAGTATGTAGTCTGCGTAAGTCTAGGATCTCCCATCGCTCTTCCTCAAGTTTTTACATCATGCATCAATTGTCTGGATCTCGCACCCCTCTTCCTCAAATTTCTAGTTATGCGTCACGTCCAGGATCTCCCACCCACCCTTCCTTATCTGAAAGTCTGTAGTCATGCATCAAGTCCAGGATCTCTCGCCCCTTTTCCTCAAGTTTCTAGTCATGCGTCAGGTCTAGGATCATCCAACCTCTTCCTCAAGTTTCTAGAGTTGCATTAAGTGTCTGGATCTCGCACCCCTCTTCCTCAAGTTTCTAGTCACACGAAAGGTTAGGATCACCCAACCTCTTCTTCAAGTCTGTAGTCATGCTAAGTCTAGGACCTCCCTTCGCTCTTCCTCAAGTTTCTAGTGTTACATGAAGTGTCTGGATCTCGCACCCCTCTTCCTCACGTTTCTAGTCATGCGTCTTGTCTAGGATCTCTCATCCATCACCCTGAAGTCTGTAGTCATGCGTAAGTCTAGGATCTCCCAACCCTCCTCCTCAAAGTAGTCATGCATCAATTCGATCTAGGATTGCATACCTCTCCTTCCTAAAGTCTAGTTTTTACTGGCACGATAAAGTGACTAATATAATGTTCTGAGAATATAAATGTATTGGGTCTTTTATTTTTGCTTAACAATTAATGTTTCAATTTTTTTTGTCCGGCGTGGGGAGCAGTTTCAAATGTGAAATACATAAACATTCCTATATTTTACAACAACACTTAAGCCTATTTGGGAAAGAGGTTTGACATTTGAAACTGCTCCTGTAAAAATTACATTTGGTGGGAAAGATGCACATTTGCCTTGAATACTAATGCCCAGAGTTACGGATATATCAGAGTGTACTCAGCCTCATATATTCATGTACTCTATCTATCAGCATTTACAGGATGTTGGTATTAATTTTATCCAAGAATGATTTTTATTGAGTACATCTATGTTTACAAGACGTGCAGAAGTCTGGAGAAGGGTGACATATGTTGCGCTATAATCTTCCAGCTTTAAGCATCGTCCCTATCTACATGGATCCAAATCTCATCTTTTAGACATCATTGTCAAGATTTACATCTACTTTATAGCATGGTAAAACAAACCATAAATACGTTTGACCAATGCTTTCTTGCAAGTTACATTTTAAAATAGCCAGTTCAATATAATAGTACAATAACGTCATTTCGAATGGCAATATAGTGAAATATTGGACCGAGGGCCGAAGACCCAAGGTCCAATATTTCACTACATTGCCCGCAGAAATGACGTTATTAGTATTATTACCACCGTTAATGACCAGGACTGAAACAGCAAGAAAATCATACGCACTAAACGATACATCTAATTTCCCGGGCATGCCGGGGAAAATTGCCGGTCGAGAATTGCATTCTTGACCGACAGTATTGACCGCCAGTATGACGTCACATATTGGTCAGGTCGATATAGTAAATTCGAACATGACTGTATTCACGCCTTCTATAAACTGTAAACAAAGTCAACATTTCAGCCGGGATATATTCGCGATCAATACCCCTGGTAATAAGTGTAATGTGTGACGTCATAACGGTGGGTCGTAGTAATGGCAGACCATGATGAATATTCGAAACATTTTGGTGAGTTTTCATGTTCGAATCGTAATATAGACCTCAGAGCAGGGGTAATATCGTTGAATACACCCCTTAGGGCTAGGTACAAAACCTTTCGAACCCCTCACTCCCTTCGGTTGTTCGGGGTACAGAAAACGTTTGTGCCTAGCCCTGCGGGGTGTATTCGACAATATTACCCCTGCTTTTCGTTCTATATTTCTTAAATGAATGCCTTCTAAACTAGCACTAAAACCTAGAACTGGCCCGGCAATGTGGTAATAATAAAGATTTGTCGCCTATAATTCATATTTTGAAAAGCAGATATGAACTTCGGATTTTCACGAAATAAAAAGTATTGGAAAGATAAAGAAAGAAGTTTTTTCGGTTCTACTTTATTTTTCTTTATTTTGCATAGAAAGTGCAAAATATAGTTATGTAAAAGTTTCGAGAAAACGAAAGCCCCTCCTATTTAGTTTTTGTACCAACAATTGACGATATATAAATTAAATGTAGCTCTATGAATATCTATACGAAAAACACAGAGGGGATGGTCGATTGGCTAAAGTGCCCATTGCCTGCCTCGGGCTAATGAATATCGCCGGTCGTCCAGCTTTTACCTCAACAAATAACACAGAGCTAGTATACGAAATGTCTAATATTTATTAGGAAAGTTCAAATTAGGTGATATAGAAAATAAATCAACTTTTAAAGATAAAAAAGAATATGAACACGAAGCGTCGAATCTATTGTCGGGATTGGAATTACTCGGCTCTAAATCCAATTATTGCCGCGACCTTTAGTACACGATTGTATATGTTATAATACTTTTATCGCTTTAGGACAAAGTCTTTTTTATTTCTCATTTATTAATTCAAAACTACAAAAATGACACTGTAGCGACTTTACAATGAAATCCAAAATCCAAATCACATGTATTTTTTATCAGTCCGTGATGTTTTTAACTTTGAACACATCGCCCTATTTAACACATTACTATTGTTCTCTAAGATCATATTTTCTAATGAACTTTTTTCTCTGTCGTAAAAAAGCATTTTATAAGCTGCAAAGCCATTTCATATTTTGTGCCGAAAACACACAGGTGGTATCCAACGTTGCCTTTCAACCTCCTCGTGCAGCAGTAACCTATAATGAATACTGATATTTGCAATTAGATCATGTAGATATAGCGTGCCATATGATAAATGACTAAAAACGTAAGTGCACAGAAGGTGAGACAAGTGTCGAGGAGACGAGGCTTTTAGTGGTTCGCCCAATATTCCCGATAATGTATATTAATGTTTTTAATTATATACCGAACATTTTATGTTTTATCTACATCCCAAGAGGCCCAGGGAATGAACTCAATGTAACAATTTAAGTATAGTATTTATTGTTTTGACCAGTTTTTAATCGATGTAAGTCCTTGATTTGTGAAATTCAACAAGAACATTTGCTTGCAATTGACAAAATAATATTTTTAATCATTAGGCCTAATTATTTAATCCCCTGCTCTTAATATCACAGACAAACACTGATCGGTTGGAAAATCACGTCCAACCTGGTGAAAGGTCTAGCTCTGCGCTCGCTTACTTTGGTTTTTAGCTTATTATCTTTTGCCATAACATTGTGGCGGCCGTAAATAACCAGATGTGAATCTAGTAATTCATAAGACATATTATTACGGATGATACGGAATAAATACAAACATTATTAAAAAGTACATATTCGAGGGTTGATCCAAAACTTCCGAACTGCTTGCTCTAAAAATCCAAGAAAAGAATTAATTTAGAGTTGAGCACAGTATGTCATAGCAAAACAAATCACCAGTGTCCTAAACATTGATATCACGCAATAGTCGAACACTCCGATTCCCCTGTCCATTCGGAAACAATCCAAAATCACTATGTAATCATGTTTGTCAGTCATTTCCCCGTTACTAATAGTAAACACGTCTGTGAGGAGAGTTGAGCGTGCCATTGGAAAATTTCTGCCGCACCCTGTATTCTAAGTGGATAAATTGTTTCTCATTCGCAATTCAACTACTCTCCGCAAGTATTGCTGACTGCATTGCAAGCTAAGGAACGGAAAGGTATTCAAATTGCCTTACAGAAGTTTTTCATATCTGGACTAGTTTATGCGCGTATTTCTACCTTTTGTGTACTCATATCTACATTTTCGTGAGAAACGCCTTTACAAAGATAATTGGGTACTATTAAGAGGAGGCATAATTAAAAGCTGTAACATCGTTCTTCGCCTTATCACGATCTCATTTGTTCATTAGTTTCTAACAACGTTATTCCCGGATAATAATTTACAGAACACAATGAAAAATTGTGGACAAATGAAATTAATATAATTCAATTTATACCTAGTGATCTAACTTTGGACCATTATTAGAAATAAGTGGCAGCACCACGTTCAGTCAGTAGCTGAAATGCCAAGATACGCGCACCAACCAGAAGAAAGGAATTGCGCATAAATTGATAAACCCACCATCGCAGTTTTTACTTATAAGGGACACTAAAGAGTATATTCCCGGAGACTTAGACAAAGGAGTCAAGTCAGTTTTTGTTTCAGTGATAGGGAGACAAAGGCCAAGTGATCAGTTGCGGCCAGTGGGGGTAGGATGACGAAGTTAAACTATGGTGTACTGGGTTGCCTAATGATATTTTCCAGCTTATATTTCATTAAAGGAGCACGCGTACCTGAAGTTAATATTAAACAAATGTTGTGTAAAAATCTATGTCTGAAGGGAATGGGCGGAAATCTCTGCACATGTCACGCCGCTCATTTTGCCGGAAAACGACAGGTACCAGAATCACAAAATATACCAAATGACGATTTATTTGAAATTACACTCAACGAAAACCTTCAAAATCCTTATACAGAATACACAGATATTTCGAGTTATATGGACCAATACGATAGCGACTATAGCAAAATAAAAGACTGGGAAGTCCCATCATTCCCCCTGAGTAATTCCGAAAAATACAATAACATCCTACTGAAGCAGTTTTTGACTCATCGAGATGATATAAACAAACAGAGACAGATAAACAGGTATGTGATCGGTAGCCTGGTGATCAGGCATTCTCTACTTTATTTTGACTTTTTTGTTTGCACAACTTAAGAATAGAAAATGAGCTAGCCAAGTCCTGGTTGTTTTAACAATAATCGTCGCATGCAATAACCAAGGTGCAATTTTTCAAATCGCGGTTTAATCAGATTTAGGGTTAAAACACTTCCTTTCATTTAATCAATCAGAAAATAAAGTGGTGATGTTTATCACAAGTATTAAAAAAACACTAACATGGAATAATATTTCCAAAACGACCCAAATCAAAATGAAAAATCTACATGTCCATATAAATGCATTTAAAGTATGTTACATTAACCCTCTTTCCCAATTGCAAGTCGAACGAATATTAGGTCCTAAAGTCATAATTTGATATTATTAGATGATGACATTTGAAAGAAAAACAACAGAAATACGTGTACAAATCATATAATTCAACAAAAAACGTCTGATGATTTTAATTTTAAGTAATGCAAGAAAATCATAAATAGTTTTACGAGTCAGGACTATTTAATTGCCTTTGCATTTGTATTCTGCGACTACTGTATCTTTCAACTGTTCCACAACTGGATGACTCTAACTGCAGTTAGCTTCATTCAAGATGGTGGACAAAATTCGTTCGTTTTCGATATATCTCCAATTACAGCCAAACCAAGCTGAATCTTGATCCCAAAAGTTTCGCCATGCAAACTAAAAAAGATATAATTGTAAACAACCACAAATCAAGGCTCAAGCACCCGCGATATTAGAGAAATTGAAAGAAAACGGCTTCACTTAGAATGACTCTAACTGAGGTTGATAAGAAGCTAACTCCAACACAGATTTCACCATTGATGACTCTAACTGAATGGAGATTTATAATGGGCTATACAAATTACCAATAAGCAGTTCCGTAACCAGGGGAAGCTGGAGGTTCGGTAGTTTCCCCCTCCCTGGCCAGAAATTATTTCAAATTCCCGCAGGTTTTCACCACTCTGAGCACTTTTCGCACGATTTTCTAAACAAAACTTTTATCGTGAAGCAACAATATTGTATACAATGATGTAACAACCTGAATATTGAAGACATGCAGTTAAAGGCAATGTTCATTTTTATTTGTTCAGTCAGTGGATTATCAAAATAATATAAGTGTATACGGTTTACTAAATTATTGCTTATGACACTGGGCTTTGTCTTGTTATGTAACCACGTGACCACAGATGATGCCTTCCCATGATACTCAAGGAGGATTGGCTCCCAGAGTGCACCACCGATATTCTGTCCCATATATGGGTATGTCGTAATACAAAATTCGAATTCAAACAGCCGCCATTTTGTTCACTTCAACATTTAAATCGTGAATTTTGGTCTTATTTCCAAACGAAAAATTCCAAAACTCACAAGAAATGATCGAGATATTGGTTCGAATCTTTTGAACTGTTTATTTTGAATTTATAGTCGGTTTTAATTTCAGAAAATAACGACATTTCGACGTTTTCATTGTTGGAAAATATCGAGTTTCGATCCTGGGAGCCAATCCTCCTTGCATGATACTGGTGGTTAATTGTTCTGTGTAAATATTAAGTAGTTGGTGTGGTGTATAGTGTTGGGAGTGGTGGCTTAGACCATGTCTTGAGACATTACCTTTTATGGACACGCATGGTCATGCAATCTGTGTCAATTGGTTAGAGGTCTCGTTGATTGGACCTGAGAGATATGGTCTAGTATCTAAGTTTCCCCAAACCATCGTCAGTTCTTATGTGACAGGTAGAGTATATTTAGTTGATCCTAGGATGATGCCATTAGTGGTGACATCTCCTATTGTCATTAATGTAGAGCGGCCGGACATCTCGATCCTGTTGCGGATCCTCTCCCTTATATGTTGGTCATAATAAGGGCACAAGATGTTTCGAACTCATGGGGGTATTCCATGATATGTTTCTCATCAGCGGCCAAAGAAAAAAGGTTAAGAATATAGTGAGGGCTACTTTTTCCTGTTCAGGTTACGCGTTTCGCGGGATTGTTATTGGTTTCTAGAGAATGTTGTTTTGCTGGGTTAGGTTTTGTTTTGGGATTGTCTCCAGTTGGAGACAGTTAGTTGGGTGCTAAGTAAATTGGTATCATAGTTTGGTTGTGTTTGTAGATTGTGCCTGATTGTATTCAAAAGTGTAATTTAATTGATTTAGTATTGGGTTGTGACTGAGTCTGTTACTGTGGTTGGTGTCAGGTTGTGTTGTAATGATTCAATGGGTTGATTTGAATTCGGTCTCGTTGGCTATGTTGTATTGTGTTGGTTTGTTGTTTGGTTGTGTTCCATTGTGCTAGTTTGATAGTCGATTGTGTTTTGGTGGTTGTTTGTCTGGTTGAGCCTGGTTGTGTTGTGTAAGTTTGGTATCGGGTTGTGTCTCATTAAGTTATGTTAATTTCAAAGTGGTTGTGTTATGTTGTAATTGTGTTGTGCTGGTCGGTAGCGGGTTGTGCCCAGTAGGATGAAGTATGTGGTTGTGTCAGATTGTGTTGCGTGATTGGTGTTGATTTCAGAGAGTGTTGGTTGGGTGTTTTTGTGTTCCAGTTTGGTTGTGCCTGATTGTGTTTTGATTGTTTTGTGTAAAATTGTGTTGTTCTTCGTCCATTATGGGTTGTGTTTTGGTTTTGTTGTTTTATTATTTGGTTGTGCCAAATTGTGTTGCGTATATTTGACAATTGGTTGTGTTTTCGGAGGTTAAACTAAGGTTGTAGTATTGGGTTGTGTCGTATTGTGTTGTTGGCTTGTAGTTGGGTTGTGTCTGGTTGTTTATTTAGCCTGGTTTCGAGTTGTGCCTTATTGTGTTATGTTAATTTTAAAATGCGTTGTGTTATGTTGTGATTTTGTTATGCTGGTCGGGGGGCAGGTTGTGCCCAGTCAGGTTAGGTATCTGGTTGAGTCCGATTGTGTTATGTGGTTGGTTGTGCCTGATCGTTAAATGAGGGGTGGTGGTGGGTTGTGCCCGATTATGTTAAGATAGGTGGTCGGTTGTGCCTAGTCGGGTGAGTTTATTTGGTTGTGTTCGGTTGTGTTGTGTGATCTCTCTGTGTTGGGGTTTTAGTTTGGTTGTTCCTATCCGTTGGAGTCTGGTCTCTGTATCTGTCTTCAGTAAACCTAAAATAAGAATACTGCAATGTTCCATGGTGGCGTTTTTTAATTACAGGTCGTGTAGACCATTCTTGCTTGACTAGCAAAACATTGACTTTCGGACGTTTGCGGCATTTCGCCTTTTACATCATATACTTTAATCCTAGAATACTTACAATATTTTACCATACCGTAAGCCTATTCCGTCATTTGGCCATTCAATCGTAAACTAAATTTTGTCTAAATTTTCCAGATTTGTTGAAATTTGTACCAGAATTTGTCTGCTCCCCCTCCGTCCAATTTCTACGATCACCGGCCATGGGATTGAATAGAAACTCACTCCATGTCAAAATACAAATGGCTACAACCAATAACAACAGTCAATAACATTTAGATATCTTATAACAACAGACAGGGCCGTCCATATATTCATCCCATTGAGTTAGCTTCATTCCCCGTTTCAGTAAGCTTCATTCCTACGTCATCACTAACTTCAGTTAGAGTCATTCTAAGTGAAGCCGTTTTCTTTCAATTTCTGTAATATCGCGGGTGCGTGAGCCTTTATTTGTGGTTGTTTACAATCATATCTTTATTAGTTTGCATGGCGAAACTTTTGGGATCAAGATTCAGCTTGGTTTGGCTGTAATTGGAGATTTATCGAAAACGAACGAATTTTGTCCACCATCTTGAATGAAGCTAACTGCAGTTAGAGTCATCCAGTTGTGGAACAGTGGTTAGAGGCCAAGGAAGCGCCGGTTTTGCGAGTGTACTCGACTGGTGAAATTATATTAAAGGACATGAAAATCTCAAAACAAATGTTTAAATCAGGATTCCGATCACAATCTCATATATACACATTTTTGGCTGGTGATGAAGGTCTAGGTTTTTCATGATGGAAACGAACAGTCGTGAAGTTTATCAAATGGTGTCTATATTTTGGTGCGGATAAATTGTAAAGATTCAGATTCAGATTCAGTTATTTATTACTATTTTGAAAAACATACATGACATTCAATACAACATGACGCTCTCAAGAGCATATATGTTGGTTTTAACTGGACAGAAATGGGTCAGTGACGCCAACAGGTAAGACAAATAAAAATGGAGTGGAGAAATACCTGAGAATGATACTGGCCCAAGTCTTTTGGAAATCATTTCAAAAATATGAAAAATATTAACACTCGGGGACAGAGACACAGGGCACGAGAACGGGTAATTGCTGCTTTATAATATTTATATATATAAGACAATATATATGAAGACAAAATGTGGCAGAGTACAGATTTTCAATAGTGAAGACATTTTCCATCAGCCGTGTGCAGTTTCTCATCCCCACACGTAAAACACATTTATCAGATCACCAGGTTCAGTCAAATATGTTTTATGATTGCATAAAATAATCCTATGACGAAGATTCGTGTTTGCCATTCGTCCTGATTGATCACAGGCGGAAACAACACCCCCAAAGTAATTCCATTTAACTGGGTAGACTATACTCTAGGTGGAAACAATGTGGCTTTCATCCCCCAAAGTAATTCTAATTTGAGTGGGTGGAACAAACTCTATGTGGAAACGACTTACATCTTCCAAAGAAGTGGACGGCGTACACCCCCAAAGTAGTCCCGATTAAGTGGATGGACCATAGTCTAAGTGGAAACAATGTGGCTTGAGTGTTTTGTTCAAAATCGTATTCAGTTTGGAACAAAATACTTAATCGGCCGGGCGCCGGTCGATGAATCGCAGCAAATGTGACCCAGGCATAAGTGGGACTGACCATACTGCGGAAACAGTATAGCTTACATCCCCAAAGTAGTTCAACTTAGTGGGTTGACCATACTCTAGGTGGAAACAACGTGGCCTACATCCCTCAAAGTAATTGAATTTAATTTACTC